GGTTTATAATCTCTTGGGCTTTTGGAAGGCAATGAAAATTAAGATGATGAGACCAAATTGAAGGAAGTGTGCTATGATTAGATCTAGAATGTTCCCAAAAAGCTTTTACACACTCAGAGGGGTTTTGGAAGATGATTCATGGGAACCCTTTATCCATCCATGGATTCCTCCACTACTGACTTCAACAGCTGAGGGCAATTTTAGGTGGAAGGGCCTGGTGATGGGTGGGTCACTGGAGGAATGACCAGGAAGGGTGTATCTCTCTCCCTGGTTCCTCTTTTTTCTCTCCTTCCTGGCTACCATCACATGAGCAATGAGCAGCTTTCCCCTTCCCAGGCCCTTCCACCATGCTGTTTCTGCCTTGGAGCTCACTGAACTTGAACTGAAATTGTAAGTCAAAATAAACCTTTTTCTCATTTAATCTGCACGTGTCAGTATGTACGTCAGTATGTATATCAGTGAAGTCAAAGGGACCAAGACAAAGTGGGTCATCCAGATTGTGTTTGGGTACTATATCTTGTACAGGGTCGCTTCCACTCTGGCTTTATCTCTGCTTCCTAGCTGCCAAAAGGTGAAAGTCTTTCCTCCACCATGTCCTTTTGCCATGATGTTTCTGTCTGTTATGGTTTGGGTCTAGATGTCCCCCCAAAGCCTCATGTGGTCATAGGTGGCTGTTTCAGAGGTGACTGAATCTAGAGAGTGTGATGCTGGGATTAAGGGCGTGTGATTGCTAAACCAGTACACTGATTGGTTTGGCAGCACTCTAATCCCAGTAGTCTGGATAAGATAAAAGGGGCACAAGGACACTGTTAAGGTTCCTTATTTTAGCTACAATGTGGGCACCATGAGCTGTTTCTCCTCTGTGTCACCCCTCTGCCATGTGCCACTCTGCCTTGGAGCCAGCCCATTATGGGCTAAAACTTCTACAAACTGTGAGCTAAATAAACTCTTTTCCCTTTAACTGGGTGTCAAATATTTTGTCTCAGCAACGAGAGAAAAGTAACTAAGACACTGCCTTACCAATAGGTCTAAAAGCAATGAAACCAGGCAATAATGGACTGAAACCTCTAAAACCAGAAGCCAACATAAATTTTTCCTCACAGTTGTTTTTGTCACATATTTTCTCATAGCTATAGAAAGCTGTCTAATACACAACCCAATTTTGCACCCCAACAAATAGAAAAACAAAAAGAAGAAAAAAATCTAAAGTTAGCAGAAGAAAAGGAAATAATAAAGATTGAAGCACAATGATTAAAATAAGAAAAAAGAAAAAAATAACGTAACTAAGAGTTTTTGAAAACATTAAAATGAGGAAGCCTAGTTACACTCAGGAAGATTGAAATAAAATTAGAAATGAAGTATGTCTAACCTACAAGTAGCCTACTTTTATATAAGCATACATGAAAGATGTTCAGTATCACTATTCAGAGAAATACAAATCAAAACCATATCACTTCACCTTGATAGGGTGATTTTAATAAAAAACAAGCAAGCAAAACAAAATTACAAGTACTGATAAGGATCCAGAGAAAATGGAACCTTTATACACTGTTGGTTATGAATGCAAAATGGTGCACAGCTATGGAAAACAGAATGGTAATGTCTCAAAAATTTAAAATAAAACTGTAATATAATTCAGCAATTTCACTTGACAACTTATTCTAAAAAAATTAAAATCTCAGATGTTTGGCCTCTCTGTTCACTGCAGCATTATTCATAACAGCCAAGAAGTATAAACACCTGTATGTCCACACATAAATGAAAAAATGTAGTATAAATACACACTAGGAACATTAGTTTCTCTTTAAAATAAAAAAGGAAATGCTTGGGGGCATTATGTTAAGTGAAATAAGCTAGTCATAGAATGACAAATACAGTGATTGTTTATAGGAGATATTTAAAGTAGCCACACCATTGAAGCAGAAAACAAAACGGTGATTTCCCAGGGTTGGGGAAAGGGAAAATGGGAAGTTGCTAGTTGCTGTTCAATGGGTATAGACTTCAAGTTATGCAAGATGAAAAATTTCCACAGATCTACTGTACAATAATGTGCATATAATTAACAAATACTGTACTATCCACTTAAAAGTTAAGAGAATAGTTTTCATTCTGTGTTATAAGAAAAAGGAGGAAGAGGGAGAAAAATTCAGCCACTTTGAAAGACAATTTGGCCATTTCATGTTATTAAGCATAGTGTTACATAGGATTGGAAACCTACTTCTAGATGTTATCCTATTATTTTACAAACCTATGTCCACATACGAACGTGTCTAAGAATGTTGATGGTACCTTTTTATTCATAAGGGCAAAAGACAGAAGCAACCAATGTCCTTCATTACATGGATATGTAATACAGTACAGTGGAATATTGTTCAGAGTTTTAAAAAATAAACTATTGGGCTGAGGATTTAGCTCAGTGGTTCCAACACCTGCCTTGCAAGAGCAAGGTCCTGAATTCAATCCCCAGTACCAAATAAATAAATAAACAAACAAACAAACAAACAAATAAAAATAAACTATCAAGCCATAAAAAGACACAGAAGTAACCTAAATGTACACTGATATGCAAAAACAGCCAGTCTGAAAAGACCAGCCAGTCTGAAAACAACCTCAGTGGTTGAGGTTCAAAAGTGGGCAGAGAAGGATGAACAGATGAGGCACAGGAAACTTTTACAGTGTTGAACTATTCTATATACTTTCTGGACTGATAGAACTACGCAAAATAAATGTATACAAATTTTAAAAATCATTTAGAATGTTTAGGTATTCCAGAAAGCAATACAGACTGTGGAAAAAATAAATAAATAAACCCAATTTTATTACAAATGTATAAAACAACCTCATTGAATGAAGTGTTGACCTACATAACTTTGGAAATTAGTAGCATCTGTACAGCTAAAGAGAAGGCATGTATATATAAATTCTTGCTAGTAAAGCTGTTTCCAACACACCTAGATTAATAATTCCAATACTTCTACAGATCTATGATTGAATTAAATAAACAAATGGATAATCCAGGCTAGAATCTATGTTTCTCATTGCTGGAGTTGAAATTTATACATAAGTATAGGACGCTAGAAAAATCTGCATGCTAATGCTTATTTAGCTTACAATAGATACATAAAATTACATAAAGAAATATTTAAAGATGTGTGTACATACACAGATTAGTATACAGACATAGATTTCTTTGTTCTGTCAGTTCTGTGAGGGCCTAAAAGCAGCAACACCCCAGTAGCAATAAGCTCAGCATGCCTAGCTTGGTTTCTAACATATTTCAATAAAGAGCCAAAGTTTCTTGGAGAAATGGCTGGGTAAGAATTATGTAAGAGGAGCCTAGAATATCTTATACTGCCAGAAAGTAAAGAAATGCTTCTTTTAAAAATATTTTTTAAATGCTACCCTTCCCAAAGGAACACTCACTCCCAGTGATGATGGGGTGGTCAAAGGGATACATGGGCCAACCAAAATAGCTTCAAATGTCCAAAGCTGGAGTAATTTCAGTAATGAAGCAGAAATGGATTATAATCTAAAATACAAATATCTGTGTCTACACTGGTATGAATGATTAAAGAGACAAATCTGTGCAGAACTCCAAATGATTTATGTAGACACTCCAACCTCACAGAAGTACAACTGTCCTTTCCTTTAAGTATGGGCTGAAAAGAGAAATTTCCTTCCGATAAGTGTGGTGCAAAAAAGATGAAATAGAGTACTTTCACAGTGACGATATCTGATGACCACCACTTTGGCCAACTGACCAAAACCAACATCAGATTATCAATCATGTTAGTAGAGTGCCCCTTGGTACGTTATGGTAAGTTAATTTATCTCTGCAACCTTCTTCCCTCACTCCCACAGTCCCAGTCTAACTACGAAAAGACAAAATCAGATGAATCCCAATTAATTGTCTTACATATCATCTTGCCTGGGTTTCTCAAAACTATCAAAAGTCTAGGGAACTGGGACAACAGGGGGGCCTAAGGAAAAGTGATAACTAAACTAAACGTAATTCAGTATCTAGGATGGAGTCCTGGAACAGAAAGAGACATTAGGTAAAAACTCAGGGATTTTGAGTAAACTGTGGAATTCAATTAATAATATTAGTATTAGTTCATTAATTATACCCAAACTATACCAATGTTAAGTACTTACAACAGGAAAAATTCAGCATGAGGAATATAGGAATTCTCTATACCAACCATCCCCAACTTTTTCCATTATCTGTTTATGATGGAAAACAATTTCTCCACAGACCGTGGCAGGGGTGGGGGTGGGGGAGCGGGATTCCAGATGTTTGTAAAGAGCAAAGGAGCGGTGCACAACCTAGATCTCTCTCATTTCATGCCCAGTTCACAGATTTTGTGCTGCAAGAATCTAAGGACACTGCTGACCTGATGGGGGGTGGAGCTCCAGTAGTAATGTGAGCCATGGGAGCTGCTGTAAATAGTTCAAGCTCACTCACCTGCTGCTCACTTCCTGTTTGTGACCCAGTTCCTAGCAGGCCACATATGTGACACTGGGCTTACAGAATCGTACTGTATACCATCTTCTCTAACTTTCTGTAAATCTAAAGCTGTTCAAAAAAGAATAAGGTCCATTCACGGGAAAAAATGGAAAAAAAATAAACTGGAAGAAAATATCTGCAACACAAGTACATGAAAATAGTCTTGTAATCAGAAAAAAGTCTCAAAACTCAATACTATGGCAACAAAGAACTCAATTTAGAAAAAGGGAACAGATATAAACTTCATTGAAATGTACAGATGGCAAATAAGCACATTAAAAAGTACTCATTATTAGTCATTAAGGAAATGATCATTAAAACCACAAGGAGATACCACTGCCCACAAACTAGCATACCTGAAATCATAAAGACTGACTAGCACACCTGAAATTATATCATACCAGATGATAGGGAGATGGAGAAGAACTCTCATCGTTAATGTAGGGGGAATGAAATGGTAAACACTCTGGAAAAGATAAACATTGACCCATTATACAATGCAACCATTACACTCTATTTATTCAAAGGAAAGACTGTGTCCTTACAAAGATGTATACAACAATGTTCAGAGCATTCTCTGTGTTGTCAAAGCCCAAAATGTGAAACAACCAACATATCAGCAGGTAAATTCACAAACTGTGGCAGAACACTACAACAAGATACTTCTCAACAATACAATAAAAAAGGAATGAACTACTGATATATGCAATATGGACAAACCTCAAAATGATGCTGAAATAAGACTTTTTTTCAAAAAGAATACAAACTATGCTCAGTGGTAGACCATGTGTGTAGCATCTACAGGTCCTGGGTTTAACTCCCAGCACCAGAGGAAACAAAATACATTTACTGTATGATCCCATTTAAACTCTTGAAAATGCAACAAGTCTGAAGTGACAAGAAGCAGATCAATGCTTCCTGGGGGCAGGATGCAACAGAGCTAGAGAAAGATCTCAGGAGTTACCAGTGTTCACTTTCTTGACTGTGGTAACACTTGCACGGGTATCTGTATGTCAAAACTTATCAAATTGGACACTTCAAATAAATGTAATACATGGTTTGTTGATCAGATTTCAATCAAGTTATTGAACATGCTAATAGAATACATGTGGCGAGAAAGGGGCTATCAAGAGCAAGATTTTTTCCTTATAAAAGGAATTCTGCATGGAAGACTGCAATTCAGAAGAAATCTCCAGATCAATGCTACTCAAAAGTACTGGTCTGCAAACTGGTTTTAGTCCATAATGACATAAGGATCTCGCACAGGGGGTTAAATCAACAACCACACTAAGCACACTGTTTACTTCAGCTGAGAGTTTTCATAAACAAATTTTCTCAATAAAGAAAGTAACATACTGCATTGACAAACATTTTGGCCTAAGCTTTTCTAATCACTGACCTATAACAAACATTTCATAGACTGGCACTAGGGTAGAGACTCATTTGAGTAGCACTATTTAGATTACACTCAGATATTTATTAAAATTCTCTAAGCCTGTCCTCAGTTGCATGGTGAGAATGGTAGTAACTGCTCTGGACAGCTCTAAGAATCATGTGATGCTTCAAGCTTGCAAATAGCAGGTACCTGCAAATAGTAGGTACCAATTATTTATGTATTACTAACCACTGAGTTATGTGGAAAGTCATTTTAAAAAAGCAATACATGAAAGTAAGACATAATACTTTTATTTGTTCAGAATGCTTATTTTTAAAATTAGCTGAGGTTAAAAGTGGTTTTTCTACTTTTTAACATTACATTCAAAAATGTTAAATTCAATATTAAGAATTTATAACCAAAATGGACCAGCAGAGTATTACCTGATAGTTATAACAAGGTACATACTATAAAACGACATCTATTCCTTTTATCAGAGTATAGTCTCCCAATCAGACATGGAAATGCAAAAGTAATAATGTTACTTAAACTTTTTCTGTGTTCTAGATTTTAGTATCTACAGTTTGTAAACTCAGAGTTATTCAGATATTTAGCAATACTTCTCTTGTTCATATCTGATAAAGAGCTTTTCTCTAAGAAATTTTACATTTCATATTTTCTTTGAAATGAAAAAGATAAGGAATCTCCTGAGTTATATACGTAGCTTATACATTCTTTTAAAAACTTACTTAAATTTCACAAATTTATTATATAGCCATAATACATGTCCTTGCTATTCACATATTTAAGCAATATTCAATACATTTGTGCTTTGTATGTTTAGAAACTATTTTTAGCTTTCAATAAAACTATTTACAAAGATTTCTCAAATATTTAGTAAACCACACAAAACAATCATTATGAAAATATAAACTGTTACTGCAGCTTTTTCACTTTCATTTTATGCATTTCCTTTCAACCATGTAATTTCCTGTTGTTCAGAGACACTAATACATTTTTATCTTTCTAATCTCAACACTGCTTCTTTCTCAGCCTGGTATAGCAGTCAGTACACTGCAGGGTTTCTGAAGATAGTATTCACTCTCCTGTATCAATCACAGCAGTGAAATCTGACAGTGTTGGTATTCATCATCTCCAGTTATTTCAACTGCAGGACCACCTTAAAACAGAAATGACAGAGAGGGTTATCAAGTTATACCAGAATGATGCTGATGCACACTAACTGAAATGCTTTGAAATGTCTGAAGAAGGGTATGGAGAAATAGTAACAAGCAAGTACAATGCACATAGTCACTGATGGCACTTGTCTGCCAGGCTTTGTGGCTTACATCATTCAATATTTACTCTACCTAACACCCAACTCACATATTTCCCCAATCCAAAGGCAAGGCAGGGCTGAGTTACCAGTCTGGTTAGTAAGCATGCAGACCAATTGTCCTAGTTACTTTTCTCATTGCTGAGACACAACACCCAAAGTTAAAGGAGGAAAGGTTTATTTTGGCTTACAGTTCTTAGAGGTCTTAGTTCATAGTTGGCTGGCCCCAAGGTAGGGTGGCATAGCAATAAGCAAGTGCTGAGAGAAGCAGGGACCTTCTTTCTGTCTCTTAAATCTTATCCAGGCTACTGGCCCTTAGGGCGGGTAGTACTCACACCCTTAATCCTAGCATTGTACCATGCTTCAATCCCAGCAGAATTATGCCATTCTTGATCCCAGTAGAACTATGCCAAACCAATCAGTGGACTAATTTAGTAATCACATACTCTAGATCCAGCCACCTCTGATAAAGCCCCACCTAGGAGTGCATGAGGTTTTGGGGTGACATTTAGACACAAACCATAACACCAATCATCAAGAAATTAAAGTGTCTGAGCAACTGCAGAGAATAAGAATCTAGTATCGTCAAGGAATTAAAAAGATAGGATCAAAAAGATTGATAGTGGCAATGGAGGTGAATAAGAATAACTGAGACCTAATCACTGAGACTAGTCATTTGAGAAAACGCTGAGCAATAATGAGGGAATATACATACACATTCTTCTTCCTCACAACAGTTTCTACTGTTCTAAACATTATTTTTCTCAATTATTAAACACCAGGAATCATTAGGATTATTTAGCCGTTGCTTTGTAAAAGTGAAGTTTTTAGACAGTCATTACTTCTTCTTGTCTAAACTTGATCTTGTCATAAGTACAAGTACTTTTTATCTCCCAAACTTAGAGGACTGCAAAAGCAATTTTCTATCATTTGTTTAGCTAAATAAGTCACTCTTTTTAAAGATCAGTAATTTTTTAATCACAAAAAATCTCCACTATCTACTAATATAATAGTGCCAAGGTAAAACTTTATTTTTATTATTAGTGAGCGCCGAAGCAAAACAAAACCAGCATTTAGAATAGCATTATTATTCTTTCAAAAATAACTACTTGATAAGTTATTCCAATAGTAATTGAACAAGTTGTGATTCATTTAATATCTTACCCTAGAGATCAGAACATCTTAACAAAGTATTTTCTGTGCTGATAAATTATTAGGGAACAAAAGAAACATTAAAAGTTGACTGCAAGTTTGTCTCTTATTGCTCTAAAGGTAGCAATAAAAAGAAACATTTAAACGATATGATAAAATTAAAAGTAATACCTTATTCGCTGCTTCCAAGGAATTTATGAGATTCTGCAGCTCTTCCTTACTCATTTCAACATAATATGGTTTTACTTCACCATTTTCTTTTACATCTAGATGAAGGTTTAAAAGTGGCATGTGTAAAGCAGTAATCTTGTCACTAGAAAGGGCAAGCTGTTTAAAATTAGGAAAACAGTAATTAATAAAAGGGACTATGTTAAAATGCATCAGAGTTTACTAACTACATTTAAGTGGAAATAAAGTACTCCTATTTGATAACAAATACTCAGAAAGGTAAAAGAAATAAATTCATGTCAAAACAACACATATCTGAAGGAAAGAAAAACAAGAGAAACTGATTAATAAAGAGAAGTAAATAGAAAAAAAGGGCCAACCAGCCAGCAATTCTGTGGCAGAAGCAAATATCTAGATTTGCTTTTGCCCAGAAAAAAGATATTCTTTTACACAGGATTGTAGCTATTTTCTAGTTATAAAAACTTTGGGAAGTACAGATTGGGTCCAGTCAACAAGAAACACAGAATTTTTAAAGACGTTAAAAATACCAAAGATGACAGTTTAGGTATCAAGATAAACAGACACTAAAAATATTAATAAACTCTCAGAAATTAAGATGTTTAGTTCCTCAACTATTAAGTTATCAAAAAATCATCTTCAATTAGAACCTCAAAACAAAACCCCTCAACACATCTACCCAATTTCCTAAATTTCTGTCTCCAGGGGGTATATATCTTAAGAGGAACTGGAAGACTCAAATACAGTATTTACAATACTGATCCTTTTTGAAATAAGCACAATACCATCACTGGAGAGGGTAAAAGGAAACTTGATTTTTCTGGAATATGAGCCAGAAAACTCTACAATCTTTGTTCCGAGTAGAGCACTTGACAAAAATCTTGTGCAGTGGTTAAGGGTCACCTTCCCTAACACAATCTTCAAAAGGACTCCCCTCTGGTACTAGACAATCAAATCCTCATTTGTTTCTACTCTCTCATCCAAAAGCAGCACTCATAATGTCTCTTTAAAGTATCACCTTCTAGTTATCTATTTTAGGGAAAACTGTCAATATTTACAATAAGTAGTTTCTCGGCCTATTCTTGAAGCCTATTCTTGAAGCACCAATGAAGAGGAATGAGCTACCTTAAGGGATTAAAATCACTGCTAGACAATCACAGTTGCTGAGTTCTTCCCTAGGTTGAATTCAAACCCATGTTATGGCAAATGAAATGCCTTCATCTTTGTCCCAGCCTCTGGTGTCCCTGAGCACACATCTACTCCCACATATGTGACTTTAGTCATCTTTTGACAATAACTGACATATTTCACTAGGTTTCATCTTTTCCACATAAATGGTCTGACATGTTTCAAAGCAATTTCATTTAATGTGATTTTAAATTCCTCATCACTCTTTTCTATTTGGGTTACAATTTGTTTAAATATCTCCCTAAGTTTGGCAGCCAGAACTGAAAAGATTATTAGACTAAAAAGACTGAATAGTTGAAGACAGAATTTTTAGAGCTACAATCAACATCAATTAAGCCGTACTTTGGTAAATCAAAACAACTAAATATTTCTCATACACACTATATTAGCACCTCTACCCTAGCTTTTATATTTATGAAAACATAAAATACTTATTTAAGTGAAAATTCTCAACTTAGGTTATCACTTGATAATTTATCTTCATTTAGCCTGTGTAATAAGTTATAAAATAACTTTAAACTTTGATTACATCATGTATTTGATTATTTACACCTTTGGCGTTGCATACTCTCAAACTTGAAGGCCATAATATTCATAAAAATGTTAAAGAACACTGGGCCGAGACCGGATCCACAGAGACCACCTTCTTAGCTAAAACAAATTCATTCATCTGTAACTAGACAGTCACTTATCCAGTTATGAACTCATCCAACTGTGTTATTTTCCCAACTTTTTCTCCACTTAATCCACAAAGACAATAGGAGGCACTTTAGCCAGGTTATGTTAAAATAAAAAAACCCCAGCATATTAGATTCTTTTCATCTACTGGTCTCAGTACCTTTTAAGGCATGGAAAGTTGATCTGAAATTGTTCTTTATTAATTGTACTCATCATGACTCTCTTCAAAATGTTTTTAAACTGCTCCTTTAATATCACATTATAGATTCTCCTCCCAGAGACAGAATCACATTTACCAATCCTGAAAAAGTAATTAAGTCTAAAAATCTGCAGCCAAAAATATAATTTGAGTATATCAATTGCTCCACCATTTATAATTCATAGGTCATAATGATTTATACATCTAGTTAAACTTATCAATGGAATGTTATTATACATAGTTTGGGTGCGTAAAGTGCTCTTTAAACCCAAGTTAATGCAAAAGATGTAATTAAAATAATCTTTGCTATTTCTTTGGAACAACATATTTTCAAACTAACAGAAAATATATTACAAAAAGCATGTCTCTATATCTAAAAAATCAGATAATAAATATATACTCAAAAATAAACAGATTCTCACCTTTAGCTGCCAGTCAAAATCTTGTAGCTGTGCAGAGGAAATGTCAACTATTTCTCCTAACAGAACCTGCTTGATTTCATCTTTCCTACTTTTCAAGCATTTCATGATAGATTCTTGATGCGATGAACTCAAGTGATTCAACTGTTGAAGAATCTATGAAAATAAAAATAAATGATTACAAAATAAATGAAAGGGCCCTTCTGCTTAGGATGTGTAGTTCCATTTTCTTTCCACATGCATTTTTAAATTATAATAAAAAGTAATAATACTTCCATTAACTATGAAAAGAAGAAAATGAGAATGAGTAACCAGCACACAATTTTTAGCAAATTCCTGCAAAAGAGATAGTAAAACAGCTGACTGATGATGTAGCCTAGAAGTGAATACAACTAGACAGCACAGAAGCTGATAGTTTTAAAGGTTTATTAACATATCAAACAACACAGTCCTTCCATAAGCCAAGGAGTATTACAAGAAATAGTTAAGGAGGGTAACAGAGCCATTCACCAGAAAAGATTAACAATCACAAATTTGGATGTGCCTATTAGCACAGCTTCAAAATACATAAAGCAGCAAAATTTGGCCAGTTCTAAAAATAAATTCATCCATAATTAGGGATGTTAACACAACTGAGTAGCTGTTAGAAAAAGACAAAAATAGCAAAAATATAGAAAAAATGAAGAACACTTTCTATTTAACCTACCTGACATAAAGAATACTACACCCAATAACTGTAGAGTACATAGAATTTTTAAATGTACATAGAAGATTTACCAAAATATACAATGGGCTGAACCAAGCAGCAAACCATGACAGACTGAAATAACAGTGTTTGTATTTTTGACTACTGTGCAAATAGATCAAAACTTATGATAAAAGATAATAAAAACTAACAACTCAATATTAAAGAAATAAAATCAATGTCACATAAACCCTTTAGAGAAGAACAACCAAAAAATACTTCCCAAATTGATTCCACGAGCCCAGAAAAAAATATGATATCTTGACAAAGTCATTATAGGAAAGAAAAATCAGTGTCATTCAAATACAGATGCAAAAATCCTAAACAAAATATTGGTATATCAAATCAAGAGATAAAACATCACAACCAAGTGGGATTTGGTCTGCCAATGCAAGCTAGCTAAAACATTCAAAAATAATCACATTAACAAAATAAAGGAGAAAAAAATTCTGGGCAATTTTTTGGTCAAATCCAATACTCATTCTTGATAAAAATTATAAGCAAAGTTGGAAATGTAAAAAGTTTCTTTAATCTGATAATATTTATGAAATCACAGAAACAGTGAAATAGTGAAAATTATTTCTCCTAAGGTCAGGAATGAGATATAAGTCCACTATCATGCTTTCTTTTCCCCCAACACTGCCCTAAAGATGTCAGCCAGTGGAATAAGGTAGGAAAAAGAATAAAAGGTATTAAAATGAAAAAAAATTGTGTGCAAATCCTTTCACTCAAAAATCTACAAGTCATTAGAGCCAATAAACAAACTGAGACGTTGTTGAACATGTAGTAAATATGCAAAAATCAATTATATTTCTATATATTAGCAATAAGCAATTGGGAACAAAATTAAAAACCATCAAAAACATGACTACCCAAATACTGTAACTTCACTTTAAACTACAAAACAATAGAGAAACCAAAGATAATCTAAATAAATGGAGGGCTACCCATTTCCACAGACTGGAGAGCTAAAAATTGTTAGTCAATTCTCAAGTGCAGTCCCAAAAAAATACCAATGGGGTTTTTTTGGCTAAAACTGATAAGCCAATTCTAAAATGTGTATAAAGACATAGAGGACTGAGAATAGCTAAGGCAATCTTGAATAAACAGAAGTTGAAGGTCTACTATTACCAAATACCAAGACTTGATTTAGTGAAGCATTAGCTCTACAGTAATCAAACCATGTAGAATTGGCAAATACAGAGAGACAGACTAATCGGTTATAATAAAGAGCCAAGATAAACACCCCCACACAACCAGCTGATTTAGATCAAAGGATGCACAATAACCTTGTGGGGCAAGGATGGTCATTTCAATAAATGCTGCTGGGTCAAATGGATACACATGTGGACAAATTTGAAGTTGGCCTCTACTTTATGCACAGATATTAACTTAAAATGGTCCAGTAACATAAATGGAGAGCTAAAACAATCAAGCTTCCACAAGAAAACATACAAGGCTATCTTCATGTCTTTGGTACAAATATTTCTTAAGTAGGAATTAATAGCACTAACCATCAAAAGAAATACTGAAAAACTGGACTTGATTAAAACTCAGAACTTTCATTCACAAAAACACATCATTAGGAGAGTGAAAAGGCCAGCCTTATTTTAAAACACATATGTCCAACAAAGAATTCATATCCAGATCAACAGCCAAATAAACACGATAAATATACAGAACTCCCTTTTAAAATAAATAAATAAACAAAAAGTGAGCAACCTATACAAATACTCCCATGATCTTTGGCGAGACACAAAAGCAATGCAATTAAAATGGATCTCACACTACCCTGCAGTTTCACCAAGATGTTTACCCTGGAAAAGCTGGCCCAGATGTGTACAAGAATACATGCACAAATATGGACGAGGGTATTTAAGTCATTTCTAAATGAACAAACCTGAAACACAAAGTAGGTAAAAGGTTAACTGTTTTATCATGATAAGGGGAATATGACTATTGACTATATAACTTCTTTTTCTCCTGTATGTTTTAACTGTTTGACAAAACAGTAATAACCAAAAACAAACTGGGAAAAAACCCACAAATTTCACAGATTTGTTACTTACTTAAAATGATGCGGTCATACTGTTATATAACATATACAGTACTTACTGATGATGACCCTTGTATTATACAGTGCTCTAAAGATCACCTTTAAAAATCTGAGCATTATTTATTATTGAGTATAGAAATCTGAAGTGAAGTTACCTCTTCATCAGATAAATTTTTACCAACTACAGCTTTGAAAAACTTGGTAACATCTTCTAGAACATTTATCCACTCTGTTGAATCCCAAACACTGTGATAATCCTGGTACAGAGGATAAGCTCGACCACAAATGCCATCAATTATTTTGTGAAGAAGCTGGAGAAAAAAAGGAAACAAATGTACTTATAAATAAAATTTATCTCACTTGTAGTGAACAAATGTTGCTGAGTTCCCATTATCTGCAAGAGCAGCTGAGACAGAAATGTAACTAGTTTTAAAGCTTATTCTTAATTAAAACTTAACGCTCCATGATAATCCCAGACCTTCAATTATTATACCTACCTTCAAAAGCAAAAATAATTTTAATGATGCACTGCTATTTTTCGAACATTCCTGAAAAGAATATGGCATTATGGCTTATGTCTAGATGTCCCCTCAAAGCCTCAAGCAGTCATAAGTGGGGCTTTTCAGAGGTCACTGAATCTAGAGTGTGTGATGCTGGGATCAAGGGTGTGTGATTACTAAATTAGTCCACTGATTAGTCTGGCATAATTCTGGGAGTGAATAATGGGAAGGCCTTCCCTAGATGTGAGTGCTACGGGAGGGTATCCTGGATAGAGAATAAGGGACAGAAAGAGGGCTGCTGTGGTTCCTTGCTGCTTGCTAATTCACTATTGGTTGCCTTTTGCCTGTGCTGCTCTGCCAAGGACTATTTCTCTTCTGTGATGCCCCTTTGCCATGCCACCCTGCCTTGGAGCCAGCTGACTACAGACTGAAACCTCTACAAACTGTGAGCCAAATAAACTTTTCCTCCTTAACTTTGGGTGTCAGGTATTCTGTCTCAGGAACAAGAAAAGTAACTAAGACAGATGGTATGTACAAAAGTGGCAAGTCTTTCAACTCTTTCTCCCAGTATCATATTCCACTCTATTTTAAGCAATAACACCCTATACCACCACACACTTTAGAACAGAGATAAGCAGCTGGTGACTTCTACTTCCACACAGTGGCTGATGCATAACTAGCGAGACTTTTTATGTACCATAAATCAACTAACATAAACCATTTAAAACTCAATCTTCTCTAGAGATATTCCATATTATCCCTTACTGCTTCCATGATAAAGTAAAACTGAAAACTCAACCTGAAAAATAAAAGTGTTACTTTTATTTTTTTATCCATGAATATGTAATGATACTTTATTGCATTTATTAAATAAGGTAATGGTGGGTTTTTTGTTTTGTTTCTTTGTAGTACTGGAAATTGAACCCAGGGCCTCAGGCATACTAGACAAGCACTCTACCCAGCCCTTAACTGTAATGGAAATACAAAGAAAAAATAACTGCAATAGCTACTATCATTTATTTACTCCTAACTAGGTACCAAGCACTACTGCTACTAACCTAAAGTAAATATTGTGATCATTCCCATTTTACAGTTGAGGCAACTAAAAATAAGTTAAGGCCTTATCATAATGGATCTTTAATCTGTCAGAAAAAGGCAAACGTTAATATATAAATGCAATTTAGAATGATAGTTGCTGTAACAGAGGTGCGTAGCAGTTGCAAAGGAGCACAGAGAGGAAGCAAGAAAAAGGCTGTATTAAGAGCAGTAGTTGGGCAGGCAAATAGGAAAGAGGAAGGACATTTCCAGTCACAAACAGGATGAGAGGATAATAATTACACTGAATTGGGGATAGCTGGCAATTTGGAAGGTAGGGGAGAATGAGAGCCGACAAGGCCCTTGTATACAATTTTGTTTGTTTGTTTTGGTTTTTTGTTTTTTGTATTAAATTCTTTTATTGGTACATAGTAGGTATACAACACAATTACATTTCTCATTGGGAATTGTACCTTTATATAATGCATCTCGGTTCTTATTTTTTCCCCATTCCTAGCCCTTCCTTCACGCCCTCCACCCTTCCCTATTTACAAAGACTTTATTTCCATTTTTTCCGTTTCTCATCATTGTATACAATTTTAAAGAGCCTACAGTTTAATCTGCACTCAACGTCCAATAGGAAGCAACCTACTCACATGTAGCACTATCTTTCTATAAATTTGCCAACAGGTTGCAAGATATAAGGAGAGAAACGGGAGAGAGAGACCAAAGGCCCTGTCTTCAGTTTACAGGGCAGAGATTATGGCCTAAATTATTCAGAACACTCAAAATAAAGAGGTAAAAGATGTGTAATAAAGAAGGGCCAAGGATGAAATCCAGAATCTCAGCTCGAGTGCGGATCTGAAAGTAGTGGTGTCACCAAACGAAAAAGAGGCTGTGGAAGGTGAAGCTACACAGGAATAGAGGCACTCAATCCCTGGACATAATGAGTTCCAGGAACCCCTGCAGGAGAGTGGAGGCCAGGAGGTCTTAGGTGCACAACTTCTAAGCCTATGGTGGACAAATTAGGGCAAGTTACTCAAACCCTCTCTGACATTTCAGTTTCCTCAATGGTAAAGCCAGAGAGAAGAGTTAAGACGCATTTTCTTGGTCTCAGAAAGAGGTGTGTTAACTTCCTTCTGTCTTCCCTACAGTAAGTGGAACAGGGGAATGGAAGGCAGAAACTGAGACTCATGGAAGATAGCAAAGGGTGGATCTCACCACCTCACCTCCCCCACCAGGACACTAGACTTAACGTTGACTGCAGTGAAAAGCTACCTGAACGGATAAATGGGACGGCTTTCCTCAGGTCCTCTCAAGCCAGGTTCCTTCACAAACGTCACCTCTTGTGGTCATCCTGATGTCCCTCTGCCAGTTACTCCGCACCCTCGTCACCCTCAAGGGGACCGGCTCAGCCGCAGTGTAGTCACCAGCGTCCCCAGAACCTTACCCCGTGCTGTGAGCTTGCGGGACGTGGGTACTTAATGAACGAATGAAACGTATTCTAGGCGGGTGCAAGCCCCATTCCAGGGCATTAAGCCTTCAAGGTCTCCGCGGCGACTCTCCCGCCCGGCTGGGCCAAGGGTCCTGGGCTGGAGGGCGCAGTGGGTCGCCCTCCTCCCACGGCCCGTAGTCCCGCGCCCGCACACCCACACGCAAGGCCCCTCGAGCTGCGACCCCAGCGTCCGCGCCTAAGTGGCACTACGAGCCACCCGTCCCCCAGCATCCCCGTGGAAGCCAGAGAGGCCGACCGAAACCCCGCCTCTTCCCTTCCTTCCCAGGGAACCCGCGAGGGCGCCAGGAGCGCAATCCGCTCGCCACGCCGCCGGCGCCCCTCACCTTCGAGCCCAGCTCTGGCGGGAGCTTCTGCAGCTGCCACAAGGGCGTCCCCTCTTCCGGCTCCATCCCTGTGCTTGACCGGGGCCGGATCACGTGACACAGCCGACACCTCCCCAGAGCCGCGGCTCACCCACGTGACTCTCGGGTCGGGCGGGGCCGGGGGGCGGGGGGCTGCCGCCGAGTCCTTGTGCGCCTGCGCGGTCACCGGCGCCTCTTGTACTGGAAATGAGTGCCCTTTTTCCGGCTGGGTGGGATGTGGCGTAGATACTCTCGAGCTTTAAAACTGGAGGCAGATTTACAAATCTCTTCAGGCAGTTTGCACTTTGTTCAGAGTTCTGTTGAACTTTCTTCTCACTGTTTAGAAAACCGTCTAATAAGGATAGCCATTGTCTCAAAGTTTTGATACGTGTCTCCACTGCGGGCACAGTTCTTTATACAGATCCTCCTCGGAAGATCTGTTTCACCCCCATCTGCAGCCAACAAACTTGGCCGGAGGGTCATTGGTGTTGTCAGTTGGCGCTCATGCAGAAAGCCCAGTTAAATGTCAAATTTCAGACAGCGAATAATATTGTAAGTATGCCCTAAATATTGCACGTATATGTACTCAGTCAGGTCACATGGGTAATAGTTGCTAGGTCATCAGCCTGAGCACAGAATAGTGGTCTCAATCTGTACACCCGACTGTCCTTGCTGAAGAAAGGAAGACGGGATAGCTAGCGAAAGGTGACATCTCTTAAGGCCACAAAACAAGTTACTTAATAATGCAAAATGACACCAATCGGGGCATAAGGAATAACACTAGGTCCTAACTTCTCTTTCAAGCAACTCTAGATATCAAGGAGAAATTGGTTTTTCTTTAGAATATGGATGTAACAAAATTTAACTTTGAAAAAATGTAGTTTCTAAATTCATAAATTGAGAGAGCAAGAGTACTTAACGTTAGCCTTTTGATTAGTAAGAGCATGTCCTTATTTGCTTAATCTGAGAGATTATGTATATGTATTGTATATATGTATATGTTTATATCTGCCTCTTCTAGTACCATCTTTATTAGGTATATTTTGCTCCCCGTCTGCCAGAATTCATTTGTAGAAATGGTTAAAATTGTGTCCAGTTCTGTAAATTATTATCTATGTAATAATGGGTAAACTAGTTCATCTCTCTTGTCTCTGGTTCCTCATCTGTAATTACTTATAAGAATTACTTAGAGAGTTGCTGTTAATTTGTATATGTAAAATTTGTGAAATGAAATCTGGCCTGGCACATGGAAAATGTTATTAGATTCCCTTTCGAGTGCCTTTCATTCTTCTTCTGTTTTCTGGCCCAGGGTGTAGACTTCCAGAAAGCACGTGTCTTCTTATTTACCCGCCTAGGTAGAGTGTTGGACAGTCTCTGCTTTGAGAATGTGTCTGCCTCTCAGATCTATTTGGCCTGTTGTGGCCTCTATAGACAACACAGATCAGTGATCACAGTTGTGAAATAGGTAAAACAACCTCAGTTAACCTCAGTGTGTGTGTTTGCTGAGCTGAAAGTGGAATTCAGACTTGCTGCTTAGGGAAGTATTGATTTGATACTTCTTTCTGAGAGTTTTTCATTGGTTGTTATTGTTATTGTTACTGTTGTTGCTATTGTGAGGTAGAAAGAGGAGTTTTGTGCATTATACCTTGGGAGATACATTCATTCACTGGTTTGCATTTGAAAATGGTTATGCTCTAGAAAACAGATAAATTCTGAAAAACATATGTGGGTAAGAGGAGAGAAAGCAGTGGAATCAGTTTGAAGAATATTCCATACCAAGTTTCACCTAGACATTGAAGTTGATATGACAGTTTGCCCTCTAGACTATAGAATTATAGAAGCTTTGATATGTAGTGGCAGTGTGAAGCAGGTACAAATGGTTCAGATTCCAAATATGTTTTGCAACTAAGATATATGAAACTTGATGGTCGATTGAATGCTTGTGGGAGAGAAAGAGGTGTGGAAGTAAAATGCAGACAGTAAGAATGTAGTAAACCATCTTTGTTCCAAGCCAACCCAAGGTTTTAGGCCTTCAGATGGAGACAGAGCCACAAACTATAGCTTCTATGTCAGTGAAAGACTTGGAGTAATCATGTGATGGTCAACCACAGAGGCTCTAGAGTTAGACAGACCTGGCACTTATATCCCTGCCACTTACTAACCATATGACTTTAGGAAAGTTGGGTAAACTGCACGTGAGGGTTGTCTACTAAAGGGAGGGATAAAGTTGTGAACTTCAAATAAAATAATGCATGTAAAGTGTTTAGAATAGCACCCGACAAGTAAACGGGCTCATAGTGAAGGTTAACTTATTTTTAGCAGTATGTTTTTAGTAGTAGTACATATTACTTGGTGCACAAGTGGAGTACTCCTGGACCCCGGGGGGAAAGTGGGACACATTAATTTATGACATAAACCCTGTATGCCATAGTTTCAAAACGGACAAGAGCACGCAACATGTGAGTCTGACTAGGGTCCTCAATAAGGAAAGCCAAGGGAAAACAGGGAGTTTACTCATCTTGGGAACTCCCATTAAGTAACTGACTCAGCCAGCAGAGAGATGGAGGAAGGTCCTCCAATCATATGGATGCAAGCTGAAGACCTTGCTAATCAGAATCATGCAGAAACTGCTAGTTGTCACCAATATCTATGCTTTCTATTATGATTTTAATTGTGTCCCCCCACCCCAAAATCCACTGTTGAAAACTTAGTATCCAGCACCTTAGAATATGACCTTATTTGGAGATAGGAAAGTTATAAAGGTCAACTAGTTAAAGTTATATTTGGGTGAGTTGTGATTAAATATGACTGATATTCTCACAAAAAGAGAGAATTTGGAAAAAAAAATATATGACTATATGAAAAGACTTAGGGAGAAGATACCATTTATATGACAAGGAGAGAGGCCTGGAAAACATATTCTTTCACAACCCTCACAAGAAACAAACTCTGCTGTGGTTTTTGACATCTACCTTCCAGAGCAAGCTGTGAGACAATACATTCTTGGTCTGTAGGTTCCTTAGTTTCTGGAACTTTTTTATGACAACTCTATTAAACTAATATACTCCTTTCTCCACAGAAGTGAGATTTTTTTGGTTGGCACAAGTTTTCCAGAAGAAAAACTAGCTATATTTCTAAGCTTCTCTTGAATTTGGGCTGGCCAGTGTCCAAGTGCTAGCTACTTTGCTAAAAGAGGAAATATTATGTAGCCCTTCCAGGAATCTTTTATTTAAGGAAGAAACCAAGTGAACCATTTGCATTTTTTATTCTTTGTTTCTGACCCCCTTCTGCTTTGTGGACCTCAGAGGGTATCATTTTGGACCAGGATGTCATGGGCCAAGTAGAGACAGGCAACAGGCTGGAGTCAAGGTGTCCACCATTGTTGAGTTTATATTTGACACCATTTCAGTCCAGAACTACTTACATGGACATATATGTGACATCCGATATGCACATTTTGATTTAACCTTGTTTTATTTTTTTATTTTATTTATTTTTATTTTTATTTTTTTTGGTACTGGGGATCGAACTTGGGTCCTTGCGCTTGTGCAGCAGGTGACGAAACCACTGAGCTAAATCCCTGGCTAAGCTTGTTTTATGATGAGCTTCCTGTTCATATCACTCAGCCAATCCTAACTGATGAAGACATTGTAGTTACTGTGGCTTAATTTGTATCCACAAAAATGATAGTCCTATCATCTGGGTAATACTTCTAATCTCAGTGGCAAAGATTCTAACACCAAATTTGTAAAATATGAGTTCAAATTTGAAAAATATGTATTTCCACATTTCATAGTTGGCAATATATATTAGTAAAGGTTTTCTGGCGAGTTATGATTGCGTATGTCTTCAAAATGTCTATATTCTTTGACCCAGCTAGTCCAGGTTTATCAATATATAGGAAAGGAATAATTTGGCTCTCAGACTATTCATTTATGCATTGTTTATAATCCTAAATAACTAGTAAAAAATTATTGTCTTAAAATTATGAAAAACAAATAAAGCTAGAAGAAAGTGATTGTGTATAAGAATATTTAATAGGTTATAAACTTGTTTACAGTAACTACTAGCAGAGTATGGTTTCAAAATCTCTTTATACCACATGACACATGGTATATGTTTCATGAGTGTGTACACCGCACAAGTTCTGGGAAAAAGGTATATACAAATTTTTAACAATGGCTGTCATTCAGGGTTTGTAGATGTTTTTAGTTCTCAAGTTATTCTACATTTTTTGTTCAAAATGTTATCTAAAAATGTCAAATCTTTTGTGACAATTCTGATAAATTATGACTATCCTGGTTCACTTTAATTTTTGCTTTCAAACTAGCCATGTAGTACCTAAATTCACCCTTTCCTCCAGGATCTTGCCAAATACAATAAAAAATAATTAATTACACTCATAATAGTCTGTTTTCCACCCCATTGCCTAGATATTCAGCCTCGTTTATATTGGCATCTCGTTTTCCACATGGTCCCAGGCACTACGTAACATGCATCCCTAGCTTTCCAGCCTGTTACCAACCACTATGCTAACATCAGCTTTTAGATTACATTATAGAAGCTCTGAATCCTTGTACCAATTTATGTATTAATCAAAGCAAGTTAATTATTTTAATAAAACAACACAAAAAATTTAGTAGTTGAACAAAACACTTATTTCTTGCTTACATAACAATGTATTCCATAAAAGTATAGGCATTTATGTGGTTCTTCTGTTCTGTAAGGCCTCAGAGTTCTGTCCATGCAGGCATTGCTAAGGGAAAGAGACAGAAAATGCAAAGTCCTAAGGGAGTTTTTATGTGCCAGACCTTAAAATGCTGTGCATCACCCCTCCCTACATACCAGGATCATGAGTGTGTACACTCATGAGGGTGTGAACACAGTATCGCAGGAGCACCCGCTATAAATGAATTTTGGAAGTAGTTATGGGCCTACTAAGAAAAAGAAACAAAACTTGCTGACATACAGGCCTCACTACCATAATCATGACTTTTATAAGACAACTGAGGATTTCTGATAGACATATCAATACTGTTAGCAATAATTCTCTGTCACATTTTCATGTGCATCTATCGTGCTTGATAGTTCGCTAATACTACCAGCAAAATATAAAACTGGGATCTAATATCTTACAGCTGCCTCAAGAGAATATTGATTCAGATTTGAATTTGGGGTAAACCTGAGAGGTCAGTAATCCAGTGAACTCCATTTCATTTTAATGTCACAATCAGGTTAGATTAAAATCTGTAATTGTAGATGTTATACGTTGAAGAAACAAGGAAGTAAACTTGGTCAACAGCATGTTTAGGTAAACTTACTAGTTATACTCATTTAGAATTATTACAAGTGTCTGTTCCTTAACTTTTTAGGTCCTCAAATGCAATTGTGTCATTCCATTAAGAAAATAAATATTTAACCCAACTTCTAGAGACAGATTGTTAAACCAGAACATCACAAGATAAGAATCGTTTCTTCTCAGGGTGCTCTTTCTTGATCTATGAGTTCCTTCAGCCAACCAAATTATGGATCTGAAGGATGCTTTATGAATATAAGACTGAATGAAAGATAATGGAATCAACCTATGGTATATTTTTTTTCAAATTTCAGTGGCCAAATGATCCTTTTTCATTCCAAGGGAATTTACAGTTAAAGAAAGAACAAAGCATCCTTTCCTCTTGAGAATGTAGAAAAATCTATTTCTTTGATTCTCCTCTTTGCTAGATGTCATTCCTTTATAATTTATATAAACTTGTGACCAAGATTTAGGAAATCCTAGAACATTCTGTTCCAGATATTTACTCTGGGAATTCCTAGTCCCTATCATTATGAGTTGAGGTTTACTAGTTAATTTGTATGTACCAAACTTCTGGGACACCATACTGTTACTGTCTATGAACTGACATTAGCTGCACTAATTGCAATTTCTAACAAATGTGCTAGAAGTCAAGGAAAGGTAGTTACTCTTCATTCAGAGTTTGTGTTACTCTTCAGTTTTTAAAAATGTCTGTTTTAGAAGGCTCAGGCAGAAGGAACACAAGCTTAAGCCTAGTCTGAGCAATTTAACAATTTAGCAAGACCCTGTCTCAGAACTTAAAAAAAAATAATAAAAGAACTGTGGATGTAATTCAGTGCAAAGGCCTTGTGTCCAATCCCTCACGGCACCCCCCCAAAAATGTCTATAGCTTTCCACATTAATTTTCTCAGTCCAAACCTGCTTTTCAGTTTATGCTATGACTTGAAATTGACTTTTTCAACTTAATTACATGTGTTATAAAATAGTATATGTAATGCATTATTTGCATTGCAATCTACACCAAATTATTCATGGACTGTTGAGAAGAAAGGGGCTTAAAGTTCAAATGAGATAAATTATTTTCTTATAACCATATAGGATATGTTTAAATGTTACATTATCATTGGTTCTATTACATTGAGAGAAATTATAAATGGGCAATTAATAAAGATTGGGAAGATACTGAGTTTTACCTCTGCAAACCTAGGCAGATTTTGGTTGCCTATAAAAACAGATTCTTAGAAGTCAATTGAGTGTCTCACTTTTTTCCATTGAATAAACTTAATTAATTAAAGGCCTTTTTTATCTTTTAGAGCTTTTTACTTGTATGTAATTAATAAATGTTAACATCTCCTTATTTCATTGTATTTTGTAAAAATAAATTCTTATACTTTAAGCCACCAGAGAACTCCCACCTTCGAAGTGAACAGATACTTATTTTAAAAGGGCACTAGAGATAGCCCATCACAGTTATTCCAGAAAAGAATACAATGTATTAAAGTCTCTGAAATTGCTCTGTGAAAGTGTGATACTTGAGTGAAATGCAATTTTGGATATAAGAGGTAATATAGGCCATGTCCTCAGGGGTTGTCATTCTTTTAGATGGCATGTCAAGTGTTCAATTCGTTTTTCTCTGAAGGTTCTGTGATTGTAACCCCTCCCTCCTCAGTTGACACTCCTTTTAATCAATGTACTGAGGACCTCTACATGTATGAGCTGTTACAATTTCAGCCAGCTCTTCTTAATCAAAAAAGCACATTAGTCAACCCAGGGAATTTTTGAGTGATTGGCTTTTTACATTAAATGTGCTACACTTTGTTTTTAAGTAGCTTTATAATTTACATACCATATAACCTCTTTAAAGCACAGTTTGTGAAGTGAGGTTTGCTACATTTATATGGCAGTGTAACCATCACAATTCAGTTTGAGAACACTGTGCCCGCCCCACAATGTCCTTTATGTCTGATTGTACTTGATCACGAGGGGCTTTCACAATGAACAACAGCAGACCTTAGCCTCCCTACTTGACTCTCTTTGAGGGTGGAACATCAATGTTATTTTGTAGTTATAAGACACTCCTGATGATCTCAATGTAAAGCAGTGTTGATATCCACTGATTTGGACAAACCTTTGTCCAAGATCTGGAATATGCAAATGTCATCCCTTACTAACCAAGAGAGCTGGTCAACTTAGTACAATGTCATAACCGTCATAGCAGCAGCAATAACAAAGGCCTTGAGGACCTTAAGAGAATGGTGGTTTTCTGATTCCTGGGCGTTCTTCTTAGTGTTTACTTTGCCTAGAATCTTCTCTGCCTTCCTCTGGCAACACTCTCTATGCACACCTAGTTAGCATAATAAAGACAGACACAATTCCTGGAGAATTTTAATTGCTGCCTCATTGTCGTTTCCATACTCTTTGAGTAAACTTTTCATCTTTATTGCGTTGCACTTGTTTGTGTTCTGCCTCCCGTGTTGTTCTAAGAGCTCCTTGAGATGCTGAAGCCAAGCCACACTCATTTTAGTACCGTGTCTGCCACAGAGTGGACTCACACTGTTTGTTGAATTCAGAAACTGAATCAGTGACTTAAACAACTATGAAAACCTAGGAAAAAAAAAAAAAGAAAACCTAGGCAATAATTTACAACTGTGACTGCAAATTAGAATCAACTAGAGAGCTTTCCAAAAACGCTGTAATCACATCACATCTAGCCAGTGAAATCAGAGACCCTATGGATAGGGCGAAGCAGGATTTTTATACTTTACCACTTCTTCTAATGTACACTTGAAGTTGAGAACTATGGGCTCAAAGCCATGAAAGGTAGTCCAAAATTCTTTCCATGATCCAAAATATACCTAATTGCCTGAAAAATTTAGATTATTCACTGTTAAACTGCTTGAAAAGAGCACAGAAATCCATGTGAATTAATAGCTGTTTAAAAAATATGTGAAAGTACCTAGGATACTCAAGAATGAATATTAGTAATTCATATAGTGTAAATTAGTCTATAACAAATTAATGTATTATTGTAGTTGATGGCTTTTGGTTTGGGGTTTTAATTTCATTTTTAATTAATTTTACTTTGTGCTGGACATCTCATAAATACTCTGGATTTTGACAATGATGATAATGATCATAAATAGTATAAACTACTGAACTCTGATTTCTTTTCTTCTGACATTTCATTTGGAGAACCATTATGAATTAGAAGTCTGGATTGGGGTAGAAAATTGAAAGTATCAAAGCAAAAATTGCCCTGGGAAGAGCTGGAAGATTCGTAAGAAAGACATTTATGAGTTGTAAAATTGGCAAGAGACTTTTTAAAGGATTTATATTTCAAAGAGAAAATATTTGTATTTTACAGGTTTTCTAAAGATGCTCTATAAAAGTAGAAGTCAGGGGCCTAGAGTCAAAGAGGAAGACTATTTATTCAAGCTGGGGAATGTTAAGGCAGAATTGATAAAAAGTCAAATGATTGGGTTATCTTGAAGCATGGAGATTGGTTAGTAAGGTCAGGCTCAGGAAGGCTGCCCGAGAAGTCTCCCCACAATAAACTCTCAGCAGCAGCGTTTAGGATGAGGCCATTATATTCTTGGGAACAATCAAAGAACAAAGCTAGAAAAGGACAGGGAATTTTTGGAGGTAGAACATTTTGCAGATTTCCTGTGCATAGCCTGATTTATATCAGGAAATGAGACAGGAAAGCTCCTTCTACACCATCTTCCTCCTGAAGGAACCTCAGGTCAGCATCCTAGGCCCCCGTGCTGCTGAGAGGACTGAGCTGCTGTGCTGGTCTGAAGGGCGACTTGGTTGGTCCACTGGTGAGAAGCTTCCTGTGTGGCTTCTGTCCCTCATCCTCTTGATATACTAATAAGATATTCTAAAACATAGCTTAATATGTTATTCCACACCTGTTTTTACAGAAAGGGAAGTTTGCTCTGTGCTTGTTTGAAAAAATAAGTTACAACTTGTCGGAAATTGGGAAGACTTCTTTTGGTTTTACCACAGAATCACTCGGGTAATTGTTCTTTTCTTATTCTTTTCTTTTTTCTTTATTTCTTTTCAGAAGTTCTGACATTTTTCCCCATCCTGTTTCTCCTTCCTTACAGTTTTCACTGTGGCTATATATTTTTTCTGACTAATTTATTTTAATCATTAATCAGTTTAACCCAGTAATTCCCATTTTCAGCCTCTGTCCTCTTTCTTTTTCAGTTTTTATTTTTATTAGTACCTGTTTTCATTAAATAATGATTACATTCATCCTGGGGAGTTCATACATGTACATAATAGACATCAATTCCTTTTTCATTCTCTTTTCCTCCCCTCACACCTCCCGCCTTCCATCTCCTGATCCCCTTCCCATTTGAAAAACATCTTGCTACTTCCTATCACCTATCTTTTATTCTGTTCTTTATTATTTAGACTTCTCATATAAGCAAAACCATGTGATGTTTAAGCTTGTCTGATTTGTTTCACTTAATAGTATACATTCAAGGTGCATCCATTTACCTATGAACGTCTCAAGTTTATCCTTCTTTATGGCAGAGTAGAATTCCATTGTATATAAATATCACATTTTCTTTATCCATTTGTCTGTTGATGGGCAGCTAGGCTGTTTCCAAGACTTAGCTGTTATGAATTATGCTGCTACAAAAATGGGTATGCATGTATCACTAAAATATGATGATTTTAACTCTTTCAGAAAAATTCTTAAAAGGAGAATTGCTAGATCAAATGGAATTTCTATTTTTAGTTTTCTGAGAAATCTCTGTACTGATTTCCATACTTGTACTACTTTACATGCTTTCCAACAGTGTAGAAGGGTTCCTTTTTCTCTCCATCCTTGCCAGAATTTGGTTTTACATTTGTTGTTTGTTATTGATTTCTTGATGATAGCCATTCTTTCTAGAGTAAGATGGGATTTCACTGTTTTAATTTACATTTCTCTAATGGCCAGCAGTGTTGAATATTTTTTCACATATCTATTGGCCAATTGTACTGCTTTTTCAGGCAAGTATCTGTTCATTTCATTGCCCACTTTTTAAATTGGGTCTTTTATTTGGGGGGTGCATCTGATTTTTTGAGTTTCGATACATTCTAGATGTTAGTCCTCTGAGGGATAACTGGCAAAAAAAATCTCCGAATCTGTAGGTTGTCTCTTCACCCTTTTGGTTGTTTCCTTTGCTGTGCAGAAACTTTTTAAAACTAAATATGATCTCATTTGTTGAATCTTGCTACTATTTCTTGTGCCATTGAGGTTCTTTCAGAAAGTCCTTGCCTATGTCTTCAAGAGTTTTACCCATTTTATCTTCATGTGGATTAAGTCATTCTGTTTTAACACTTACATGTTTGATCCATTTTGATTTCAATTTAGTATATAGTGAGAGACATGGGTCTAGACTCAGATGCATGTAGATATCCAATTTTCCTTTCATCATTTTTTAAAGAGGTGATCTTTAACCTAGTGTATGTTTTTGACCTCTATGTTAAAGTTCAAATAGCTGAGCTCTTCTGCTTCTGTCCGCCATCACATGCCTGCGCTTGCCTTTGGGCCTAACCTTCTCTTTTCACAAGACTTTCAGAATCAAGCGATTCCTGGCCAAGAAGCAAAAGCAGAATCATCCCATTCCTCAGTGGATTCGGATGAAGACTGGTAATAAAATCAGGTACAACTCCAAGAGGAGACACTGGAGGAGAACCAAGCTGGGACTGTAAGGAATTGAATATAAGATGCAGCATATTTCTGTCTCGGAAGTCACAAAATGATGGTCAAGGTTACATTACCATATCATTTACTGGACATTGAACATGCTTAATCAGGAATCTTGTTCTGTGATCAGCACTAATGAGTCAACAATAAATGTTTTGAAACCTTTTGAACTGCTCTTAATTTCTTCTCCCCCACCAGGCATAACAACACTACTTTCTGCAATGACATAATTGTTCTCTGGCTACCTGGTATTATAGTGTGCTTGATGCAGGGACTGGGGTCTTGTTTGTCTGTCTGTCTGGTTTTTGGTTTATTGAGACAGGGTTTCTCTATGTCGCCCGGGCTGGCCCTGAACTCAACTGTGGAACTTGCAAAATCCTCCTGCCTCAGCCTCCCTAGTGCTGGGATTACAGGTGTGCAACACCATGCCGAGCTAAGTGGTTTTTTTAAATCATAAAAATTAAAACAACTTTCTGGTATAGAATAGAGCCATTCACATATGATATCCTTTTTTTGTAAGCAAAAGGAATTTTCTGGGCATGGTGGCACCTACCTGTTGTCTCAGCTACTCAGGCGGCTGCAGGCCGGGTAACTCAGCAAGACCTTGACTTAAAAAGGAGGAGGGATATAGCTTAATGGTAGAGAGGTTGCCTAGCATGCGTGAGTACATTGGTTCAATCAACAGCACTAAAAAGAAAAAAAAGGAAGGGAGGGAGAGAGGAAAGAAGCTGAAGAAAGGACCCTCCTACCTTCCTGGTCTTTGTCCTCATCAGTTTTTGTTTCTGATCTCATGCTTCTACAGCCCTTTATGTTGATTTTTAAATTTGCTTTTCTGTGGGTATTTTCAAAGGCTTCCCAGACTACTAAACATGAGAAGGATGCCATATCCAGTAAGCAAGGGGCAGATGCTCAAACAAATTAGCTTGTGGCCTCAGGTATAGAAAAAGACACATCCTTTTGACCAAAGACCAAATTCTCAGTTTGGGGCTGCAGGTCAGTTTAGAGCCCAAGCTAGAATCCAATGCTACCTCTTCCAGAGACCCAGAATGACTTCCATTCTTAGCTGGGGCTCCTACTTCCAGCAGGAGCCTTTATGACTGCCTTATGGATCGTGGCCTGGCACCTGCCTCTGCAGGTTTTCTTGGAGACAAGTATTTTGATGGGTTCCAAACAGTGCTAATAGATAGCCCTTTTCCTGTTATCACTGCGGCCATGGCTCAGAAGATTAAAAAATAAAATAACCAGGCTGTAGCTCAGTGTTTGAGCACTTGCTTAGCACGTGCAAGGCCCTGGGTTACTTCTCCAGCACTACAAAAAAAAAGAAATAAAAAATAAACCATAAAAAAAAGATCACATAGCCGAATGTACCTGGCATTGTTCTGCTTCCTCTATTCTGATGCATTGATTCACATATCTGCTTTTGTGCCAGTACCATGCTGCTTTTATCATTGGAGCTTTGTAATATAACTTCAAATCTGGGATTGTGATGCTTCCTGCTTTTCTATTGTTGTGAGGATTGCTTTTGCTATTCTGAGTCTCTCAACAAAAACTACAGCACTTGGAAAAGGGATTGAAGTGGAGATCAGATAATAGAAAGATGTGAAAGGCAGAACCAATATCATCAGAATGTATATAGTTATACTTCCAAAGCTGATACATAGATTTAATGCAATTCCAATCAATATACTAATAGCACTCCTCACATATCTAGAGAAAACAATCCTAAAATTCATATAGAACCAAAAGACCCCTATGTCTTCAAGTGTATAGTTTGTGATTATTTACCATTCTTTTCATTGATACTTAAAGATATTTTATTGTTTTGGTTATGATTTAATTCTTACATGACTTCCTGAGAAAATGGTTTATTTTAAAATATCTTTGAAACTCAAGATAGTCTTTGAAACTCTACTATAGTATATAGTACAAGAGACTTTTATGAACCAAATACTACAGAATACAAGTATGCATTTTGTAGCATTCAGTCAATAGAGGGGTTATAAATAAAATAACAGTTATCTATGTCTCAACATAGCAAAACATTTATGAAATTAGAATAGATCTTAAAATAATGTGCAGTTATTTTAAAAAATAAGATGTGGAACTATATAATAGCAAACTATATAACAATCTTGCACATTAGTTAAAATACCAAACAAAAAATTATATATGTGGGCCGGGGATTTAGCTCAGTGGTTTCACCGCCTGCTGCGCAAGCGCAAGGACCCAAGTTTGATCCCTGGTACTGACAGGTCTCCCACTACCTCAGCAACTATTATGTATAGTACCTGCCCTTTTCCTATGGTGCCTTGCCCTCTCCCCTGTGTGATGTCATGCCAAGATGGTTGCTCCCACCAAAGAACAAACCCTTCTTCCCAGCATGCCCCTGTTCCCACCTAGAGAATAACCTAATACTTGCTCACCTCCTACCATCTAGTGACATCACCAGCTCCTCCATTCCCTAGTCACTATCTCACTCAACCCCGCCTCAGCCCCTACAAACCCCATCCCAGTCTCTATAAAAGACTCTCCCTGCCCCGGCCATATTGCTTTTGTCTCTCCTTTGTTCAGAGACAGCCTGGCAGATCTGTTCCCCTAATAAAGGCTTGTTGTGGCCTGGTCTGGTCTTGGTTTTCAGCCTTTTACCTGACATTTCTGGTGCCATGACTCAGATGGTAGATGGTCCGTTAATGGACGATCCCCCGAAGGACGGGGTTGATAGACCTTTTGGCCATCTCCATTGGACGGACCATATCTGCTGTGCCAGGACTCTCCAGGGCCTTCTACCTTTGCCATTGCTGATGCTACACATCCACACCAGTCACCAGTGTCTGGATGAGTAGGGAGTTCAGCCTCCCTCTCATCAGGTTCTCTGTCTCATTCTCTCTCCCTCCACGGACTTCTCAGAAATCCAAGCGCTTGGTCAGAGAAACCTCCACAGCTGCTGGGCCCAGGACTGTGCCCCTGGGAGACGTCCCATCAGCCCGGCTCCTCTCGTTCTCTCCCTCTGGGAGACTCATTCAGAGCTTTTCAAAGGAGACAAGGATGCTTCTCCCCTTTGTCCTTCTCCCAGGGAGCTTCCTCCTCCTCACCTACTCCAACATGGGGGCCCAGCAATCCAAACCCCCTCCCTCAATGCCTCTGGCTGCCTCCTGGCAAAACTCAAACCCCTCGGATTGTTGGGACCAGACTTTAAGCCAAAAAGACTTGTTTTCTATTGTAATCAGATTTGGCCTTGGTATAAATTAGATAATGGGTTTCCATGGCCCAAAAATGGCACTTTTGATTTTAACACACTGTGTGATTTACACAACTTCTGTCAGCACAATGGCTAATGGTCAGAAATCCCTTATGTACAAGCCTTTTTTCTACCTATGCTCTCGACCCTCCCTCTGTCAAACCTGTTCTCTTTCTCAAGTACTCCTACCCCGAGCTTCACTGTCCACCCTTCCTGGTTCCACTCCTTCTGATTCCAACACATTCAATCCAGCTGATCACTCACCACTCACACTTCCCCCACCTTATAACCCTCTAAACCCTTTTGCCTCATCCCATGCTTCTCCTCCTCTGCCATCTTGTACCTCTCCTTTGTCTCCTTCCACCTCACCACATGGCCCTTCTCCACCATCTTGTGATCCTCCTCCTCCGCCATCTTGTGACCCTCCTTTACCTCCTCCTCCCCCATCCCCACCATCTCACACCCATTCTCGCTACCCACCCTTCCAACATCGGCCCCACCCACACAGATGCCTCTCTGAGAGGTTGCTGGGACCTAGAGCATTGTTAGAGTACTTGTGCCATTCTCTTTCTTTGATCTTTCTCAAATTAAAAAATGCTTAGGCTCCTTCTCTAATCCTGATGTCTGTATCAAAAAATTTCCCACAATGGGACTCTCAGCTAGGCTAGGCAGATAGAAGCCACAGAGATCATATAACTCTCTGCCTCATAAAAGGTTTATAGTGAGTTGGAGATAAAATATTAATAAAGCTATAAGTAAAATATATTTTTGATATAAAAAGATTTTATATGTTT